TTCGACGTATGAGGATCTGACAACTTATTGATTCAATTATTATATATATATATATATATATATATATATATATATATATATATATATATTTCTTTTCTGTCAAATAGTATCTTCAAAAAACGCAACATCAATCGCCATCTTCTGTTTTTCTGAATCCTGTTCTTTTTATATTTCTTTTTTTCTCACAAATCTTTTGGTCTAAGTTTTAGTAAACACTTGCGTTTTACTAGGATTATCGCCTTTCCTGGAATAGAATGATTTTTTTTTTTTTTTAATTTGAATACCTTTCGCTGTTCATCTAGCTTCATTTGACGGCTTACCAAATCGCCGCGGCGTATGGTTTGAGAAACTTTGTTTTAATTAAACAATATTTACTCTGTTCAGGCGGGTCATTATAATGTAATGATATGCTGGCTCGATCATATATCATTATTGATGGAGTTCGATCGTCACTGAGTGCCACAATACTGTTATACGGTAATATTTTACAAGCTCGCTTTGTAAACATTACTGCTGGATTGAATTCGGTCTTTATTGAATGCCCCACCACTACGGCCTTGTGTCAACTTACTAAGTTACATTTGCGAGCTTTGCTGTGAAGAAATGTTTAATTGATGGAGACAGTTCCATCGTCACTGAGTGCATCAAACACATACGGAAAAGTTGTACATACAAAATGGACGCCTATTTTCATAAAATTGCAATTACCAAGCTAGTCTTGGGTGCTACCTGGAAATAGAAAGGGCGCTTATACTTAGAATGAGAAAAAGACAGTTGAAATTTCTAGAGAATAAGTTTGCTTTTAGAAAAAGAAAATGCAGAACCTGAATTTCACTTAAAAGGTAAACTTAGTAATTACCGTATATGTACAAGGCGACATTGTAACTTTAATCTCCCTCCACCAAAAAATAGGGGGACGTCTTATACTCCAGGTATAAAATGTGAACCTTAAATTCTGTGGTATTTATTTGACAATGTTTTGCCTCCTTTTTCGTCCCGCCCCCGATAATATTGACCAAAATAACAACTGGATGTGTGTCTCAACAAACCGTTTAAAGACCGCATTCGAAAACAATGGAACGAGTGGATGGTTAGCGGGAAACAGTCATTTGGGCTAACGTAATAGTTTACCGAAAACACAGCACCCATTCATGAGGTATTGTAGATTGTGGTAGCTAATTGACAGTATCTCCCCCACAATTTTTTTCATTAGAATTTGAGGGAAAAGAAAGAATATACTTACTGAATTTATTTAATAAATTAAATACAATACATTTTGAAATATTATATTGTGGTTCGTCTTGTACAGCGATTATGGCCTGAAACCTCGATTTTAACGTGAACATTTGGTGATCGTCTTATACAGCATATATGGTACTACTAATAAATAACCCAAATTGAGTGCAACAGTTTTGCTGTGTTTATTAGTATTCCAAGTATTGTACATGCTTGACGCTTGTTTAACCGCAGAACGCAAAAGCAACCCATTTTAAGCAACCCATTTTAAGCAACCCATTTTAAGCAACCCATTTTAAGCAAAGGAACAAAGTAAACTTGGAAAAGCGTCGTAACATACTACTAAAACTCAACCATTTCTAACTATTGTATATAGTTGTGTATAAGCGGCCATCATATATAGAGTGCCCCTGAATTTGTTGCATGAATTTTAAGCCTTACAGAAAAAATATTACCTGCGTATAATGCAACTGTTCACGGAGAATGCAATATTTTTAACATCTTCAAAAAATTATCTGTGTATAGTGCAATCGTTCACCGAGAATGCATTATTTTTAACATCTTCAAAAAATTATCTGTGTATAGTGCAATCGTTCACCGAGAATGCATTATTTTTAAGCTCTTCAAAATATTACCTGTGTATAGTGCAACTGTTCACTGAGAATGCATTATTTTTAACCTCTTCAAAATATTACCTGTGTATAGTGCAACTGTTCACTGAGAATGCATTATCTTTAACCTCTTCAAAATATTACCTGTGTATAGTGCAACTGTTCACCGAAAATGCATTATTTTTAAGATCCTCAAAATATTACCTGTGTATAGTGCAACTGTTCACTGAGAATGCATTATTTTTAAGATCCTCAAAATATTACCTGTGTATAGTGCAACTGTTCACTGAGAATGCATTATTTTTAACCTCTTTAAAATATTACCTGTGTATAGTGCAACTGTTCACTGAGAATGCATTATTTTTAAGCTCTTCAAAATATTACCTGTGTATAGTGCAACCGTTCACCGAGAATGCATTATTTTTAACCTCTTCAAAATATTACCTGTGTATAGTGCAACTGTTCACCGAAAATGCATTATTTTTAAGCTAGTCAAAAAATTACCTGTGTATAGTGCGACCCCTATATTTTGCATAAAAATAACTGATAAAAAATAATCGAATAAAGACGGTAAATAACAAAGCTCTTGCTCTAGTTTTCCGCTTAAATTCATCGTGTCGAAGTATGAAAGGGGACAATTGCTACTGCTTTCCTTGAAAATCAGGATTTCAAATCATGGATTATAAATGAGCTCGAACCCCTACGACTAGCACATCCACTTGAAATAACAATCTACCTAGCCCATGTATATCTTAGTTGCTACTTGTGTTTGAATTCAAATTGGATAGAGTAGACCTAGCCTAGCAACGGCCAGTCCAATAACACTAAGCAAAACGATTCAAATGTAAGGGCTGTTTATACGAAAATTAACTTGGAAGACTTGCTCACCATTATTTCTCAACTCACTTCCATCTGACGTATCCCCACCCCAACCTTCACAGTCATAACCCTCCCTACAAGCCATCTCCATCTGATCCCAAAGGCCCTTTCGCCGTTGTCATCATGGCCGATCCCGCCTTACTTATCAACAGTGTCGCCATCACGTCCGATACGGGTACAAGCGACTCATTAATCTTTGTCATTACCAACTCGCTTCACTAAGAAAGTACTGGAATTGTACCTGCCGTCAAACATTATATTGCGAAGAACTAGTTATCTCCCCTTGATTTTCAAACGTCCGCGAAGGTTCTGACTGCGCATGCCTTGCCTCATTCCTTTGTGTTTCAAACTACCTAAAAATTCAAACTTCGAAATTAAGCTAGGATTTTCTCGTGTCGAAGATGATACGTTTTTTTTTTCTCCTGAAATAAACCCTTGAAATTTATCGAGCTAAATATTAGACCACTTATTAGCTTACACATAATTATACAGAAATTGATCCTACTAACGTCATTTTCTTAATTTGATGGATTGAATTTATCTCGTGGGGCTATAAAAACTTTTTGAAATAATAAATCATTTTGTAAGTTTTTTTTCATTTTGGGGAGGAGCATTTTTGATATTATTATTACTTTATTATTATTTCTTTTATTATTTTATTAGTATTTTTCTTAATGCCTCTTTTATCGCAAGAAATAGTAGTAATAGTAAAGAATAACACTAATAAAATTAGCAATAGTACTAAGGACTTTTAAGATTTAATAAACTTCAAGTTTCAGATAAAAACTATTATTCTTCTTTCTACCTTGTCGCTTCAAGATGTGGGTGATCACGGTTCTCCACAACATCCTGTCCTTTGTAACTCTTAGTAAGGTTTTTATTTCTGTTATGTCTCCTAATACATTTTCTCTCAACCATTTACAGAAGCTTGTTAGATATTAGTTCCCGCTTTCCTTTGCCTCTCTTGTCTTCATTACGCCATGTGAGTGTCTAATTCTCTAAGCTCTCTTCTCTCATTACATTCTCTATTTCTCATTCAAGTATAAGCGTCTTTTTTTGTTTCCATGTAACCGCAAGCTTCCACGTTATTCACACTTTCAATCCAGTTCTGTAGAACCACCTTTGTGACGTCCTAGTTAAGACGACAAACTACATCCGCGTCCAGGGTAAGACGATAAACTACGTCCAACGGCAACGCCTCTGTTCAGGAGGTTTTGAAGAACTTGGAACCACTTCTTAATTGCTGGTGTTCCCAGGTCCCACCTGACCCGGGGTGGTAGCACCTGCTAGGGGGTCCCAGCTAGGGGGTCCCAGCTATGGGTAAATAGTTAATCCCCAAACTGGGGTCAAAACACTATGAAAGTGTAAAAATAGGTTTTAATACCAGAAATACTTTGTAAATAATTATTACCAGCAATGAATTTTTGAAGGAAAAATTTATTACCAGCAATGCATTATTACCAGCAATACACTTAAAAAAATATTACCAGCAATAATTTTTTTTTAAAAATTGACAACAATATATTAAAAAAATATATATTACCAGCAATATATGTTTTTAAAAATATTACCGGTTATGCATTTTCGAAAAAAAAATATTACCACCAATAGATTTATGTTTACTTTCACACATATGCCCTTGGGAAAGGCATGAATCCATCACTTGACTCGCCATTAAATTTAAGAAAGGAGTAGAGAAAAAAGTACCCAGAATTCAAAAGTGTGGCGAAGGCATATGGAAACTAGTCTTATATGGGTATGCATTTCTTCTTCTAGATCTACCCTTTTGGCTTTTAATAAACATGATGATGAACAGGACTTCGTCTTCGGAGTCTTAATTGCCTTATTGCGTTTATCTGGCTGTCATGAGGTACGCAACGCACACGTAATCGAGATGCAGAACAAGTGTTTTTTAATGAAACCACACTGTTGTTCTGTTTCTGGTCTGATTCGGGTACGCGCTCTATTCATCAGATGATAAGTTTCCTTATGCGGATCGTAAGGCTGACTGCCCGATGGAGTTCGCATTCGTTTGCACCCGGCTTCTTTCCCCGGCGACCGAACGTTCGACTATTTTCTCAAGTAGGCCATGAAAATTCTACTTGTCTCTTCGAAACCGAATTTTACGTCGCTCTTCGCCTAACTATAGTTCTTTGAGATGTGTCCGTAATTTGAGATGCCCGGGTGAATTAAATAAAACATAAATAAAAGACACTGTACAATCAATTAATATACCTTGACTAAAACACCTATTCTGAAATCCAAACATGAATTATGATCATCTTAAAACGTTTTTTCTCTCTTTCTATTTCCCTCTTTCTTTCTCTATCGATCACTTTCACTCTCCCTATAATACTTCTTCTCAATCTCCTTCTTCCTCTCCTTCTCTCTTTCTTTCTCCTCTCCTTTTTCTATTCTCTGTCTCTCTCTCCTTCCTTCCTCTTCTTCTTTTCTCTTTCTTCTTCACTCGCTCCTTATGTCTTCCTTTCCCTCTGTCTTTATCTGTATCTTTTCTTCTCTCTCCCTCCTCTCTCTCTTCTTCTCTATCTCCTTTTACATCTCCTAATGTTTTTTCCTTCTTCTTCTTCTTCTTCTTCTTCTTCTTCTTCTTCTTCTTCTCTCATCTCCACCTTCTCTCTCTTCTCTCTTTCTCCTTATCTCTTTTTTGTCTCTCTCTCCTCCTTTCTCTCCTTCTTTATTTCATCCTCTCTCTCTCGCTCTCTCTCGCTTTCTCTCTTATTTTCTCTTTCCTTTTCCCACTTTTCCCTCTTTCCCAGATTCAAAGACGAAATGTGGCAGACGTTACGGAACTGTCATGCAAGACAGACTAGAGGCGTCGACTCGACACAAGCTATGCCTCCTTCATCACCAGCAGGTTCCTGAAGAGTGAAATGAGACGCGATTATGACAGCTTGGAGAACGATCACAAGGACAACGAATCGATGTAAATGCGAGATATATAAAGAATTCAACAGATGAATGGTATCAGATCGCAACACCCAAAATGGCAGCATTTTATTCCTTATGCTTCACACTGTACGCAGTGGCGTCGAATAAAAATAACCCTGCTGTTTATCGGGATTATTATTATTATTATTATTATTATTATTAGCCTATTAAGAATCGCCCTACGCCAGTCTCCTAAAGATCACAGTTAAATCTCTTGAGTATAAATAAATGCGTACAAGCATACTATTAAACTATGTATGAAACCCACCCATAACAACATTATGAACACGGCCACAATATACTGTCCGTATTTCGAAATTAAGAATATTTCTTTTTTCAGCAACTTCTTAGCCAATTAAGATAGCACTTGCACATTTCCATTTATTATGTTAGTAATAATAATAATAATAATAATAATAATAATAGATGGCCACTCGTACTCGAGGATACCCGTCTACTAGGGCGGCTAGCCAATCCCTATTGCAGATGCTCGCTCAGGCACATTTGTGTTTGTTCAACACCCACAGAGCCCACCTGTGTTTTATACACAAATGTGCACGTAACCGCCAAAATTTGAAATTACACACATATAAATATCAATATCTATAAATATCAATTTATTTATCACTATCTATCTATCTATCTATCTATCTATCTATCTATCTATATATATATATATATATATATATATATAATAAAAGAAAGAACAGTCAGATGTATAATCCGGTGTTCTTATTAATATTTTTATTTTTACAAAACAGTGCTCAATGCAAATTCACACAGCATAAATATTACAAATTAACTGATTTAAAAATGTGGTTCCATTGCTACACAGGAATTACCATGTTTCAAAAACAGAGACTAAAAACTTCAAATTCAATTACATAATTAAATTAAAGGCCCTAGCTGTTTCATTTTCAAGTGAATTTTGGAGTTTTATAAGTTCATACATTCCTAATATTTGTTTCCGAGGATACAGGGAAATACAATAATTTTAACAAGGGTGGTAGCGTGTTTTATATCATACAATGTTTACTTTCCTATGATGAACTCAGCCATTAGTTACAATGAACTTTCACCAGCGTCTAGTCTGTTTAAAATTTACACTTTTGCGATAACTCCAAAGTTGTTCTTTTCCCCCTATCCCCATCATCTTTTTCACCAATACAAGCCATTAGGGTGAAATAAGCAAAGTAAATATCCTGAAAAATAGAAATTTCAAATCAGTTACATATCACCCAAATAGTTCAAATATACACATCAAAATCATGTCCGGATATGCGGGATTCCGGATATGAGGAATTCCAAATATGACGGATTCCGGATATGAAGGATTCCGGATATGAGGGATTCCAAATATGAGGCAAACCGGATATGCGGGATTCCGGATATGAGGAATTCCGGATATGACGGATTCCAAATATGAGGCAAACCGGATATGCGGGATTCCGGATATGAGGAATTCCGGATATGACGGATTCCAAATATGAGGCAAACCGGATATGCGGGATTCCGGATATGAGGAATTCCGGATATGACGGATTCCAAATATGAGGCACACCTGATATGCGGGATTCCGGATATGAGGAATTCCGGATATGCGGGATTCCGGATATGAGGCACACCGGATATGCGGGATTCCGGATATGAGGGATTCTACTGTATTTGTGACAGAAATATTCAATGCATGAACGAATGGTTGATTTATAAATGTGTAAGATGGATTCTAGCGAGAGAAACTGTCTGGCACGAACCAACGTTCCTAGCAGCAGACGTAGTATTTGATTCAATATAAATTTTCCACTTCATATCATCGAAAAATGTTGAGCATTCTATAAGCATTTATGATACGTTACACGTAGATTTGCTGGCCATCATTACGTGCCTCGAGGCCCCAAAGTGGTCTTGCACTGCCTTGAAAAATTACTCTTGGATACTCTGTTTATCTAGATTCACATGAAATACATCGACTATTCTTCTTTATTATCTTCTTCTATGTGTCGTGTCACTTCAGGACGTAGACGATCATGGCTCTTCTCAATTCCCTGTCCTTTGTAGCTCTTAATAAATTTTATCTTTTTGTTATCTCTCCTAAACCCAGTCCCACCATCTACTTACTCAAGCTGACTAGGTAGATTATGTGTTGTTTTCCTCTGTCCGTCTTGCCTTTAGTCTGCCCTGTGGATATCAAATTTTCCAAGCCTTCTTTCCTCATTATATGCCCTATAAGGTTCAACTATTTCTCTCTGATGTTAAGTATAAGTGTCCATTTTGTTTCCGTTTTTCTTAAATTGCTCTTGGGAAAATTAATATCGGATTACTGGTTGAATTGGATTACTGCTTGCCGGATTAGCGATGGCCATCCTGTACTTTATATTTATATTATAAATTATCCAAGGAAAGTTCAGCTTAAATCTGTTTTTATTAGAAATATTTAAAATAATATTTGGTACTGGATGATAGTGTGAAAGAGACATGATCGCCCAAGTGTGTATCTCGTATGGCACTTGACTGACTGACGGACTGATTGGAGGTAGTAAAAAACTGAGGATGACTCCAGATAGATAAAAAAAAATTAATATGTTATTGGGCAAGAAGCTTTCTGAAATGTATAATGTCAGAACCAAGAATACAATGAAAACATTTATGCAAGCAAACGCTTGGTAAAATGGATTATTGCACACCTTACCAAATCAAAAATGTTTCAAAGAATGCAAATAGGATGAAACCTAAACTCTTTAGATATTAATTTCAGAGAACAACAGTGATTCCTGATTACAAGAGCTTCATATTAGGTTGGTGCATAATTACCAGGCGTTTTATTTTTGTGTTTATTAATAAAAATTGCTGTTTTGTTTACTTTTTTTAATAAAAATATTATTTTATTTTTAGGTCATAAAAATGCATGTCGATAATCATACTCATTTAAAAATCTTATTGTTGAATTGTTATGTTTCTTCTTTATAATAAATATTGTTTTAAAACGCCTGATAATTATGCACCAACCAAATATGAGAAGGGGAAAATATATTCAAGTAAAGAAGATCACAGCGAAGCAATATAAATTGCTGCAAATAATAAATGGTAAAATTGAAACAGTACATCATTCACCATCATCATTTATTTAGTTAGTGCCTTTTGCACCGCCGCTGTGGTCACCATTCCCCTCCATCTTTTTATGCCTGATGCTGTTCTTTCAGACTCAGTCACCGTCATTCCAGTTCACCTCTTAATATCATCAAACCAAGATATGAATGGTTGTCCCTGACGCCGTTTGCCTTCAAATGGGCCCAGCAGAAAGTCCTTATCGAAACCTCTTCGTCGCATATGTCCAAAGTAACAGAGCTTCCTTAGTTTCATCTGCTCTCCCAGTACGTACCTTGTTCTGATGGTATCTAAAACCCACATTAGTGCGTCTCACAATCCATGACACTCTAAAGACACTGTGATATGCCCTCCACTCGAAAGCATCAACCCGGTATCTTTACCCCTTGGTCAGTGTACAAAACTCGCATCCGTAGATGTCGACGGCGAAAACGCGTTACAAAAGATTTAAAACTATCAATGGCGAAAAAGTCTAGTAAAGGTTTTAGGATGTGAATGAACTAACATGTAAAAATAATAAAATATTAAGTTATTCGTTTACTGGATATTATATTTACATGTTTTTTTGTTGTTTTTTTTTTGCTTTTTTTTTGTTTGTTTCTTTGTTTTTTGTTTTTTTTATTGCCATTATTTTTAAGACGTGTTTATAAATAAATTAAAAAAAATGTTACACTGGTAAATGAAACAATGTCAGACGTTATTATGCAAACAACATAATTTTTTATTTATTTTTAAATAAATGATCAATACTTGAAAGAATTAATATTGCAAACAGAAAATCCCACAATGATCCACGATCTGACATATATTCCGAAAAATTTAACATCATCAGTAATTAATACAAATTTTATTGAAAAAAAAAAATTGCCTTGCATAATAGACCGAAAGAAGTACTGAAAACGGGCGTTTTGTTAAAAGCTAATTTATTGATTGATTTATTTTTACGGTTTATCAATCTTTTGGTATTCCCGAACAATCACCCATCGAGGTAATGACCAGGTTCAACGTTGCTTAACTTCGAACTCTGTAAAGCCTTGGTATATTTGTAAAAGTTTTCAGTTATATGCCATGCTTGATACACCCTGAGGCGATCATGTATCTTTCGATACATGACTGACGAGGCAGATGTTTCCCGCAGTAGGTTGCCATTTCTTTCTGCGGCAGAAAGAAGCTATACAAGGCTATAGAACCCGGTCTGTCCTGCTATTTACCCATAGCTGGGGGTGGGGGAGAAGAGATTTCATACCTTTCCCAAGTGTATTAGCAAGTAAACTAACATGTAAAAATAATAAAATATTAAGTTATTCCGTTACTGGATATTATGTTTACATATTTTTTTTTATTGCCATTATCTTTAAGATGTGTTTCTAAATAAATAAAAAAATATGCTACACTGGTAAATAAAACAATGTCAGACGTTATTATGCAAACAAGTGTAACGTATTTTTTATTTATTTTCAAATAAATGATCAATAACTTGAAAGAATTAATATTGCAAACAGAAAATCCCACAATGATCCACGATCAACCTTTGGTATTCCCGAACAATCACCCATCTAGGTTCAACGTTGCTTAACTTCGGACTCTATAAAGCCTTGGTATATCTGTATAAGTTTTCAGTTGTGTGCCATGCCTGATACACGCTTAGGCGATCATGTATCTTTCGATACATGACTGAGGAGACATTTTTTTTGTCCCGCAGTAGGTTGCCATTTCTTTCTGCGACAGAAAGAAGCCATACAAGGCTATAGAACCCGATCTGTCCTACTATTTACCTATAGCTGGGGGAGAAGAGATTTCATACCTTTCCCAAGTGTATTAGCACGTAA